GCTGGTGGAGAAGCACCCGCCGGAGGAGAAGCACCCGCCGGAGGAGAGGCTCCCGCTGGTGGAGAGAAGCCTGCTGGCGGCGAGGCTCCTGCTGGAGGTGAGGCACCCGCTGGCGGAGAAGCACCTGCTAATGGAGAGAAGCCTGCTGGAGGAGAATCATCCAACACTGGCGAAGCACCCACTAGTGGGGAAAAGCCTGCCGGCGCCGAAGCGAAGTCTGTGGGCGAAAACAAAGCTACTCAAGAGTCCGAGCAGTTCTCCGAAGAGTCTGGTATCAGCCTTGACAAGTCTGGCGAAGCTGCCAATCTCGGCGGAAACCTAGGCATCACAAAGGGCTCTGATGGTAGCAGCTCTGTTGGCGGCAAGAACGGTATCAACATTGGCGCTAGCGGATACTAAGCAACCGCTGCAGGCAACGACAAGGTGTGGATCATAGAGATGTATCTGTCCAGCTTCCTGACTGATACGTCTCGTCCTTCTCCTGCACATACTCGAGCAGCTGGAACGTCTCTTTCATGGTGTCGAGGCTGGTCATGTTTCGCATTGTTCAAGATTGCTGCCTTCTCTCACCCGGTCAATGGTAGTGCGGTGAGATAGTTTATAGTCCATCACTTGTACATACAAAAGAATGTTATTAGACGCACCTTCAAACTTTCGTCATGTTTTATTCTTAGGTGATGCCTCTGCTCATTTCACACCTCACCCAAAGGGTACGCAAGACTGATTTTGTACGTGTGAACGGTGAAAGGGGTGCACTATGTAGGCACGGGCCATGAGTCACTTATAGGGTAGTGGCGATTTGAGCCTGTTCCTGACGTCGACACCTCACAAACACCCTGGTTTCTACTGCCACTTCAGACGTCATGATTTTCACAAGTCCTAGCGACGTAAAGGACGATACCGAGACCTATCCTGAGCTGTCCAAAGAAGCTATCAAACATCCCACTCTGACCGAAAAGAAACAATCATCATCCTGGCTTGGGATGAATGGGTTACAGCTGGAGATCCAGTGCTTGAAAAGCGACATTGATACGCGCAATGCTTACATCCGGAGTCTCGAGCAAGACAATGCGAACGCTGCCTCTATAGCGTTAGAGAACCAAGAACTTCGCAAGAAGCTAGATGAGCGTACTAAGAACTTAGAGAACAAAGAAACCGAACTACGCACTCTTAGAAGTGGCATCGCTAGCTTGGCTGAAACAGCTGGAGAGGCATCCTCTATGCGCGTTCAAATGGAGACTTTCGAAGAATCCAACAAAAAATTGAGGGAGAGCATTGAGAAGCATACAGCCCAGGCCAACGACATTACTCGCCTCCAAGCTTCAGTCAGTGACCTGCAGACGAAGCTCAATGCTGAGGAGAACACCAACAAGCAACTCACTACAAAACTTTCCCAGAATGCGGATGCAATCAAAGACATCACTGGAGTATCCGACCTTCTACGATCACAGAACAAGAGCCTTGTGAGCAAGGTCAACGAAATCGAAAAGAAGTTCAATGCCGCAGAGAAAGCTCGAGATTTGTAAGTTTGTCGCGCAATCACTTCATTGAACTACGGCAAACTCTGCATCACTACCAACTATTTTGACTGATGACAACAACCCTTGCGATATCTACGACTTTATACGTTCTTTCGCACGTGTATATCTATTCTTCTTTCACTTCATTAACATGTCCATAGTCACGGCAAAGAACACACCAAGACACTCGAACTCTATAACGCGTCCAAGCAAGAGAACAACAAACTGAAGGAGGAAAAGCGAGTCATTGCCGAGAAGTTGTCTGCTCAGCTACGCGACTTGGGCTTTTTCGTTACAGAACTCGACCTTGTCGCAGAACAAATCCGTATCTACGTCTGCCCGCATAAAAGACTCGAAGCTATATACCCAGCAACGCCGAAAATCACACAGAAAAAGAGCGCGTGTATGGTGGCTGACGATATGTACAAGCAATGGAAGGATGAGAAAGAGTTTCTAAAGGAGTATGAGACGGTAAGACAGGACATATTGAACCATCATCGTGCACATGAGAAGGCGATGCATAAGAAGGGACATCGTCGCGAGAACATCAAGGCGGCGTTTGAGGATTTCGATAAGAAGAGGCGGCTTTGTATCAAGTATAAATAAGGCAGCAGAGGGACTTATAACAGGCCGGAGATATGTTGACTGCAGCATGAGTGAAGAGCACAGTTGGTAATATGGTCTGTAATACCCAAAACGATGTTCATACATCAGACACGTAATGCAAGTACGCATACGTACTTGAAATAGCTAAAAATCCATGGAACTCTCTACTCCACCATCTTCCCCCAAACATCCCCTCCATCTACTCCCCAAAATGACTTTCAACATGTCTCGCAACAGCCACCTCATCCCCCTCAAAAACCCCACAAACCGGACAAACCGCCGTCTCCCCTCCTCCTCTACTACCAGCATACCGTCTGTCCGCCTCCTCCAACGCCGCAAAATAACCTCCATCAACCTCCCCCCTCCTCCCCTCATCGTAGAAATACTCATCATTCTCCCGCACATCCCTCTCCATCCTACCCCCAACCATCCGACCACCACCTCTGACCACCTCCCCATCCCGTCCTAACCCCGCATCCGCACCTCCAACAAGCGCCTCCCCCCTCCCCCCCTCCGCTTCACTAACTAAACTCTGCACGCGGCCCACGCGGCCATCCCGCAGACGCACCTTGACGCCCCGTGGATGATCGCCGCGAGTTAGAATGTCAGCTACGATGCCGGAGACGCGGTGGCCGGTAGGTTGGTCTTGTTTGAGGATTAGAGAGACGGGGGTACCCGGGTGGATGGAGGCGTAGGGGGGCACGGGGGTGTATGCTTGGGATGGGCGGGCGCCGCGGGTGCCTCTGGAGTTGTTGGGTGGACCTCTTCCTCGGCCTCTTCCTCGGCCTCTGTTACCGCGCTCGGATGAGTCGCCTCGGGGTTGGCGGTTTGGGTGGCCCCTTCGTCCTGTTTGCATTGCTGGGTTGGATTTTTATTCTTATTTTTTGGTTTGAGGATGGAGTGGGCTGTCTGTTCTTTGAGAAAGCTTATCGATGAAGCAAAATCTCGCTCTGGAATTAAAGTTTTTATATTTCCTCTTTCTTTCTTTTTGTCTTTTTTCCCCTTTCTCTTCTTCGCGGAGTAACCTAAACTGTCGTTTGTTTAAAGTGGGCTCAATTTCATGTCTTCCAGTCGCTCTTTTCTTTTCTTTTCTTTTGCACTGAAAATCCCAATAGATAGTCGTAGCAGTGATATAAGTGCTATCCTAAACGAGCACGAAAGATCGCGTAATATGCCCCCCCTAGAACTGACTGGTAAATAGAAAAGCTTGCTTAAAGAGCCTCAATGGCAAGATGTCAAGGATGAATAAACTCGCTTTGAACATTTCAAGACTAGCGCTGATTACGTCATTTCTCCTTTGTAGAAACGATGCCTCTCAAAACATATCAGCACGTACTCTATCCACATTTCCTCAAGATTTTTTTCAGTGGCAGTTTGATTGCTTTCAAAATCATGGCAGCAGTGTGGTCCAAAACAATAAACTTATCTTCAGCTGGAATTTTTCGCTATGTAGGAATTCATCCTGGGATCTGTCAAAGAACCCCTCAAAAATATGTGAAAAACCATCTAGTCGCAAACGAAATACGCCAGGCAATGCAACGAACGCAACAGCTCCAAATACAGGAGAAGCGACACCAAGCGACCGTTGTGCGAACCTAGCGCTCGCGCGACTCCTGTACCCAACGCCATATATGAGAGATCTGCCAGAAATGTGTCGTGCCAAAGGGGTATACACATGAATCAAAGGTCGTCTCGGTGCATCCCAAAATACGTTTTGGGTCACCAAGAGCGACGAGTATTTCTCAGTCTTTAGAAAGGGAAACCACCGGGTGGTCCCCTGCTTCGGCCACCACCAGGCATGCCGCCCATACCACCAAAAGGACTGCCACCGCCGGAGCTAAAGTGGAAGCCGCCTCCGCCGCCCCGGCCACCTCCCATACCACCTCCCATGCCGCCAAACATTTGCATGACTGTGACTAATGTTAGCTCCGTGTCATTAAATGGATGCCATAGGGCTACTTACGAATTTCTGGATCGATACCACCGCCCATGCCTCCTCCCATGCCACCGCCACCAAACATGTCGGAGGGGTCGACAAGGTCGGCGCCGGAATCGTATCTCTCACGCTTCTGCGGGTCGCTCAGGGTCTCGTGTGCTTCTTGGATCTCCTTGAACCTGTCTGCGGCATCGGCATCATCGGGGTTCTTGTCAGGGTGGTGGATGATGGCCAACTTTCGGTAGGCCTTCTTGACTTCAGTCTCGGTTGCATCTTTTTGGATACCGAGAATCTTGTAGTAGTCTTTCCTCTTGCTCTTCTTGAGCTCCATCTCTGCATCGCGGATCTCCTTGGCAATACCCGGCTCCGATGGGTTTTCTTCGGCGATAGCCTTGAGATCGCGCAACGCCTCTTCCCAGTTTCCGCTCTCACCCAAAGCCTTCGCCTTGGTCTTCCGTGCCTTTGTGTAGCCTGGATCCAGTTCAAGTGCTTTCTCGCAGTCGGCAATTGCTTGCCTCCAGCTCTTTTGACGGGTGTGGCACAGGGCTCGGTTCTGCAGAATTTTTGAGTTTGTGTTCTTGTTTGCAGGGTCAACTTGGAGCGCTTGTGAATAAAGATCGATAGCCTCCTGGTATCTGCCAGACTTGAATGCAGCATTACCCTCTGATTTCATGCGATCCAGCTTTTGCACCATTCGCAGGTACTTGACTGCAGCCTTGAAGTCAGGGTCGCAGTTCAGTGCCTGTCGGAAATGCTGCAACGCCTTTTCATTCTCGCCCTGCACATAGAGAATACGACCACGAAGCACTAGGGCATCTGGGTCTTGATTGTTGTATCGTAGCAGAGACATGACAACGTTCTGTGCCTCTCCCAGCGCATTAGGGTTGTTCATCCGCAAGTGTGCTTCTCCCCGCATCAGCTGCCACTTTCTTGGTTTGTCCACACCAGCACCGAGGCCCTTCTCGGCCTCGTTGAGAGCATATATAACCATGGAACCTGAGCCTTCATTCCGTGAAGTCTCCTCTGCCATGCGTAGATGCTTCTGCATGGTCAGCGCAGGCTGTTTGTCCTTGGTGGAGGCACCAATCGAATCGTACACCTGCAAAGCCTCATCTGGGCGGCCCAGGCTGGTGTATACTCGACCTAATCGCAGCAGAATCTTCATGTTGTTGGGGTCGAGCTCGTCTGCCATCTTGCAGTCCTCCATGGCCTCGTAGAAGCGGTTCGCGGAAATGTAGGCGGCAGCGCGGTTAGAATAGTAGGTAGCATTCTTGGGGTCGGCCTCGATGGCTGTGGACTAGTTAGTCTGGGAGTCTACATGGTGTGTTGTGGCACAAGGCTGCAGGTGCCCGGCAGTGCTATGGGCAAAGCGAGTATTGCTAGTGTAACGACGCACCTTTGGAGTATTCCTCGATTGCCCTAGGATAGTCTTTGATCTTGAAGAACTTGTTGCCCGCGGCCTTGTACTCTTCAGCATCGATTGTCGGTGGCTGAGCGGGTGGTGTGGCGGCCTCAGGGGTGGCTGCATAGTTGGCGGTGGGTGGCGGCGGGCTCTTTGTGTATCTGTGTGGTGGGGGAGCGGGCCCATCAGGTACACCGTTGGTGCCGTTTGTCTTTGAGGCGTCTACGGCGGGACTCTGGGGTGCGGGAGAGGATGAGTGTTCCCTGTCCAGGTCCATGGGCTGAGGCGTGGGTTGGTCCATAGCGGCGGACATTTGGACTGAGAGACGCTGACGCTCCTCAGGCGGCAGATTCAGCGGGTGCGAGTCACGGTCGTATTTGGACGAACGCTTCGACGAGTAGGAGCTGGAGCGGCGGGAGGAGCGTTCCCTGTCCTTGACCTTTGAATGTGACTGTTTGTCGGGTGAAGCGGGAGGGACGTCGGAGCTGGTCTGCTGTGTGGGCCTATATTTTTTTGACGATTTAGCAAAGAGAGAGGGAAGAACCATGGGGGCGAAGTGCGGGCGAGTAGCGGCCTGGTGAGTGACTGGGTCGCTGGAATTTCAGTCGAGCGATGTTTGGAGAATCCAGGGTCGATGAAAATTGGAGCTGGGATTTGGCTCGTCCCGTTGCTAGAACGTTCCATTATCAGCGAGGATAATCCCGCTAGCACCGCTGCCACACTATCAAGCCGCAGCGGAACGTGCATGGGAAGGCTGGGGCGCGGGTCCCTCGGGCGGAGAGCCAATCCTCTGGGATATCCGTCCTGTCGCTGTCGCGGCTTTTTTCTTATTTTGATTTTGATATGCGTATGGTCAGACAGCGAAGGACACAAACGGACCTTGTCTGCTATATATATATATATATATATATTTATGCCGACATACAGTACACGGGATGGAAGAACAGAGGGAGCTCGCGTGCCTCTGGTGCTGGTGCTGGTGCTGGTCCTCCAGCTACCTTTGACGCTACCTTGCACCACAAAGCCATGGCCAAACGTTGTCGCGGCGAAACGAGACCAGTCCCTGAGGCAACGCAATCTGTGATGAGCGAGGCTGGGGTGCGCACTGTCAACAGATCGCCAACACCGTGCGCTTGGGGTGCGTGAGTTCGTCCACTCCCAACGCTCGCAACCCACCCCTTTGCATTGGCATGATGCGTTGGCTTTTTTGACAACCAGCCTACTCGTTTGTGTGCCAATGCAAAACGCTGCTTGCTTGCCTTTGCGTTGCTGGTGGCTACATGGCAAGGAGAGAGGGCTGGGCGGCGCGTCGGGCAATCATGTCAAGATAAACTCTATCCGGTGCGCTGCTGGGTCCAGACGAAGGGCGCGAAGTAGGCAGATGCTGGACGTGGATGCTCCGTAGCCTCACGCGTCAGCAGACTAGGTGGTAAGATGTGTCTGGCTCCATGGCCATTTCTATTGGCTGGTGCATTGACTGGTTCGCACGGTGGACCCCGCTCCGCCCCGAGCATACTTCACCACCGCCAACTCATAGAGAGTGTGTGTTGTTTGAACCGTAGTTAGTGTACTCGGTACAAAACCCAGGCGCGCCTCAGTTACAACAATCATCGCTTTCTACACATAGATACTACTAGTTCAACGTCCCGTGTGCTCACGCTAACCTCCGCCTCGCCTCTTTCGTCATTCTGCGCCGCCATCCCGCTCTCTTCCACGCACGTGCCATTAGGTACCAGCATCCCGGCATCACCTTCCACCATACCCAGCCAAGGCTTCTACCTACTCCACATCTCAAGAGAGCACACGCTCTTTGGCGCGATCCCGGGTGCCACCGTCTTCAGCGCCCCGAACGCCCCAAAGCCCGGATCCGCACCAGCACCATCGCCGAGGCCCTCGCCTCTAACCCGGTCCAGCAGCACGTATGACAGGCGGCGACCAGCGCCCAGTGGCCACTTCTGACCTTCGTCGACGTCTTTCCAGACCACGCAAACACCATCCAGCATCGACTGGCGAATCCGATCGTCTCATCATCACCATGGGTCTTTCGTACAACATTTACCTCAACTCGTCGCGCATCTACGGCTGTAAGAACTGCAAGACACACCTCTCCAACCACGACGACATCCTCAGCAGGGTCAGTGCACCCCAATATCTCGCTCTTGTGTCGGAAAAATAAAGCAAAATGCTAACATGTCGCCCGTAGAACTTCCGTGGCCAACATGGCAAGGCCTACCTGTTCGACAGCGTTGTCAACGTGACCGAGTCTGACCCCAACGAGCGCAACATGACTACCGGACGTCATATAGTCCGTGACATTCACTGCCGCCAGTGCAAGGAGACGGTCGGCTGGAAGTACGACAAGGCGTACGAGGCCAGCGAGAAGTACAAGGAGGGAAAATTCATTCTCGAGGCGGAGCTCTTATGCACCGTCACTTGAAGAGGCTACACTACACAGGGCTTGGCGTCTTGGATGGGCATTTGCGGAGTTTTGGATTGGATAAGGGCAACATGACTGGGTTTATACAGACGGTGGTTTGTTTGCATTTCGGTTTTATTTGATAGCTCTGACCGGCCGTCGCACGCCGGTCTTAAGTAGCATGTTGAACTCGCTAGCTTTGTTCCTCACTCCTGTATCGGCGTACTCGGGCGTGAGATCGGAAAGATGTGGAGTGATGCTTGCAGGCTTGCCACAGCGAGCCGAGGCCCGCCCTGCTGCACTCTGCGTCATGACGCCATCCCGGTGCTCCTTCACAGGAGGGGGCACTTTATTCCAACCTGGTCAAGCATAGCTACAACAGATACATGCATGGAATTCTGCAAACTATGTGCGTGCGAGCCTAGGTGCTGTGCCTTCATTGCTGGTGGCTGTTGCCCCGCCGAGGGATGAGGAACGACTGCGGGGTAAGTAGTAAGTAGCTAGTGAACATGCTCCCACTCCCGTCACGAACGCGTCTCCCGCACATCGGCCTTGCGTCCGAGCAGACACTTCATATGTAGGGCGTGAGCTCCACTTAGTTGCATTGTCTTACTTGCGCCTATAGTACATACTACACACAATTTTTCTTCACTGTTCCTCTTGTCTTTGACAATCATCAATTGCACGCACTGTACCTGCACTTCTTCCAAACACAGGATGAAAGCTGTCGTTTTCAAAGGACCGGGAAAGGTGGTGATTGAAGAGAGGCCTATCCCCAAGATCCGAGATGACAAGGACATAATTGTCAAGGTGGACAAGGTACAGTTTCGTCAGAGCGCCAGCGTGCATTGCTAACCCCCTAGCAGACGGCGTTGTGCGGGAGGTATGCTTGCACACACACACTCTCTCACATGATAGCACGGACTGTTTCTGACTAGGAAAACAGCGAACTACATGTCTTCAGGGGTCACCAGCCATCAGGAACCGAATTTGTCATGGGCCATGAGTTCACTGGATATGTGCATGAGGTAGGCGCATCGGTCAAAAACCACAAGGTCGGCGACCAGGTGGTCACGCCCTTCACAACGTCATGTGGAGAGTGCTTCTACTGCAGCCATGGGTACTCATCGCGATGCACCAAGAGCCAACTGTTTGGATCTGTTGGCCTCGACGGCGCTCAGGCCGAGTACGTGCGAGTCCCACTTGCTGATTCGACAGCTGTCAAAGCTCCACCAGGGATCAAGGACGAAGTCTTGGTTTTGATGGCGGACATCTTCCCTACTGGCATGTTTGCAGCAAAGAATGGATTCCAGTATTCCAGCCCGGAAGAGATCAAAGATAGCGTCGTTGTCCTTATTGGATGTGGGCCTGTCGCTCTCTGTGCGCTGTGCAACATCACCGACTACAAGCCCAAGCACATTCTCGCTGTGGACTCTGTGCCCTCTCGGCTCGAGCTCGCCAGGTCGCTCGGCGCCGAGCCGTGGAATTTCCAGACGGACCGTGAGGGACTCAACAAACGCGTCAAGGAGCTCACCGAAGGCCGCGGTGCTGACATTGTGATTGAAGTCGTTGGACTGTCGCCCGCTCTGCGTATGGGCTACGAACTGATCCGGCCGTGGGGTGTCATCAGTTCCGTTGGTGTCCACAACGGCGAGATTCCGTGGACTGGAAACGAAGCTTACAACAAGAATGTTAGGGTTCAAATGGGCCGCTGTCCCGTAAGGAGCGTGTTTGAGGAGGCAATGGAGAGTCTCAAGAGACATCAAGATAAGCTCGGGTGAGTGCAAACGCTTTCATTACAGGCAGCATGGCATGTCAGCTTACACGAATAGATTCATGGCGGACAAGATCATGCCGCTGAGCGAGGCGGTGGAGGGTTACGATTTGTTTGACAAGATGAAGGTGCAGAAGGTTGTGTTTGAAGCCCAAAAGTAGGAGGCGTAGGATTGGATGTAGTGTAGTGTAGTGTAGTGTAGTGTAGTGTGATGTAGTGTAGTAGCATATATATGTGCATGTAGTATGTACTTGGACGTGCTCCGAGGAGGTCGACAGGCACAATGGTCCTCTTGAGAGGGGAAAATAACAAAAGGCGGGCCAATGGGGTACTCGTGGCTTAGAAAGCAAGCGTGGCGGGCCAATGCTGTGATGGTGCATAGCAGTGCTAGCTGCATCGCCGTGGGGACCAGGATGGCAGCGAGGCGGGCTCGTGCACGCGGGGTCTATTCTGTGTTTGCGGATGGGGCGGCGCGCGAGGATGGTCGACGAACAGGCTGGTGCATTCACGCCTGCATCCAATGCCCTCGCCTCGTGCTGCCCTCGTAGAACACAATGCTGCCTGCTGTGCGAGGACGGCGGCTGCATCTCAAAAGAAGCGCAGCTGCTCCCTCTGCCTGCCCTCTTCTTGAATGCGGCAAGGCGTGCCCCTTCTCGCTAAGAGGAGCTTCAACCTGCCTGCCGCCCGAATATTGCGCTCTGCCTCCAGACCTGTGTCCCTCCCACTCCCTCTGCTTGCCTCGCCCCATTGTGTGTCTGTAAAACCCCCCCAACACTGGCACCATCACCATTACCACACCTCTCTTCTCTCCCCTCTCCGCCCTCTCTCCCTCTCTGTCCCTCTCCGCTCCCCTCAGCCCACCCTTGTTCTTCTTCCATCTGTCCCGTCGGCCGTTCCGCACCGACCACCTCTCTCACCCCCGCCACTTCCGTAGTCGCCTGTGAGTACATACAGCTGCTCCCATGTCCACTTCCACACACGATCCCAAGCACAACCACTGACACTCGATCCTACAGCCTGACCTCCCTTCTTCCCGTCCCTCTCCCTCCCCACCCCCTCTCCCCCCTCCTCTCACGTCCTACCGCCCTCCTTGCGACTTACCCTCTTCGCCTGTGAGTGTTGCGACGTTGCGCCAGTCGCGAAACTGCGTCACTAAACTGCGTCACTGACGACTGCACCAGCACTTTCTCCCGGCCATCCCGCAACATGTCCACCGAAGAGCCTCAGCCCGGTCCCGGCCAAGACGCCACCCGTGTTGCCGATCAACTCGACCGCCTCAACATGGATGGCGAGGGTGAAGTAGTCCCACGCACCGAAGAAGAGTATGCTGAGGCGCAGCTCACCTTGCGAGCCATTGTTTCGTCCAAGGAAGCTGGTGTCATCATAGGCAAGGCTGGCAAGAATGTCGCCGACCTACGCGATGAGACTGGTGTCCGCGCCGGTGTCAGCAAGGTTGTCCAAGGTGTTCACGACCGCGTCCTCTCCGTTACTGGCAGTCTCTCTGGCATATCAAAGGCATATGGTTTGGCTGCCAAGGGCCTGCTCGAGGGCGCACCTGCCATGGGCATGGGCGGCGTCATTCGCACTGATGGCACTCATCGTACGTACAAATGCTGTGCTCTGGCACCAAGGTAACGGGTGCATGAAAATGCCAAGCTAACTTTTTCAGCTATCCGCCTCCTCATCTCGCACAACCAGATGGGCACTATCATTGGTCGCCAGGGTCTGAAGATCAAGCAGATCCAGGATGCCTCTGGTGTCCGCATGGTTGCTCAGAAAGAGATGCTCCCCCAGTCGACGGAGCGCATTGTCGAGGTCCAAGGATCTCCTGCCGGCATTGAGAAGGCTGTGTGGGAAATCGGCAAGTGTCTCATTGATGACCATGAGCGTGGCTACGGTACTGTCCTCTACAATCCTGCTGTTAGGGTCCAGCCCGGCGTGGGTCCCGGTCCCGCGGCGAATGGTGGCAGCGCACCCGCCAGTGGTATGGGCGGCGGACGCTCGTACAACCGCACTGGCCATGGCGCTGACTTTAGTGACTCGCCGCCTGCCTTTTCTCGACGGTCCGGTTCGGATGCTGCCAGCAGGCCACCGCCCCCTACGCACACGGAAGACGGCGAGGAGATGCAGACGCAGAACATTAGCATTCCGTCCGACATGGTCGGTTGCATCATTGGGCGCGGCGGCAGCAAGATCAGCGAGATTCGAAAGACTTCGAACGCTCGCATCTCGATTGCTAAAGCTCCCCACGATGACACTGGCGAGCGCATGTTCACCATCACCGGTAGTGCCAGTGCTAACGAGAAGGCCCTGTACCTCCTGTACGAGAACCTCGAGGCTGAAAAGATGCGCCGCAGTCAGACTCAGGAGTAAAGGGCTACGCTAGCACATCCCTCCACATTGGACACGATTGTGGGTGGTGTTGCCTCCACGCCACCCATTGAAACTGGCGAGTTTACTGGGAGGCCATACAGCTGCTACATTTTATTGCTGGTCCTTCACGTTCGACAGCCAGGTGTACTTGTCATTCCCTAATGAAGGCCCACCGACATGAGATCCAAAAGCATGAGCTTGATTAGTTTCTTACTTGCTGTTAAATGATGGATACCACGGATTGTTTGGGGGCATTGTTTTAACTTTTTTTATTGTCGAGAGAGAGCGAGAGATCGATATCCAGGTGCACGCTGAGCGGTTCACGAATGTCATGACGTTATGGCCTTTGATATCCGGATCGCGCATGTGCTCATGGGTAGCAGCGCTAGTATCCATTTTGTGGTTTTTCTGGCGAAGAAGAGCTGGAGCTGATATGAGTTTAGTCTCACGACGTCGAGCTCTATGGCGGCACTCGAATGTACTTTCCCTAATCACTCCCTCACCACCATCCCCCTGCTCCACCCCGTCCCTCGTACCGATACCTACTAGATACAATCAATCAAATATATTATGTCGGCATGTGAGATGTCTTGGTGTTTGGAAATGATGATTTCTTGTAGCCAAGGGGCAGTGGTCCCAAGTATAGATGGAGGAGATGAGTTGGCCTCTGCACAAGAGGCACGGCGAGGCTGCGAACGGCTGGACCCTCGCTGGTCGACTAGTGCATGTACGTCATGGTCTCACGCTTTGACACGAAGCACAGGACGCAAGTGCCGTTGGCCCCCCCCCCCCCTCTCGCTAACAGCTCAACCAGCGTCGGACCACTGCGGGTGGTGCACAACCATCCAACACATCGACAGCCTCGAGACTGCTGGCTACGGCGCGATGTCGACCGGACGAGTGTTGCTGGAGGCGCGGCAGCCCTCTGATGCGGTGAGGTTCGGCAGCGGAGCTCGCTTATCCTGCTGTGCTTGCCAGGTTTGGTAGTGCCAGGGATCGCCCAGAATGCCGGAGATTGGTAGACTAGAGAGCACCGCACAGCTTTGACGCCCGACCGATTTCCGAGGCTGGGATGGCAGCTGTCTTTTCATGAGCTATGCTGTTCTAGGAAGGGGTGCATAGTGGTTAAAGATGATTCTTCTTGACCGCACATTCCCTCTTTTCCCTCCCCGTCTCTGCACCTTGACAGACTTTTTTGCCCGTCACTCACACTGCACCAAACCACCCATACCAGTCACATCAGTACTATACCACCACCTGGACTAGAGACAAGACTCAAGAAACAACATCCTACCACCGGCACACTCTGACAGGATGGCGCCCGTTCAGACACAAACCATGACATCCCACCAGTTCGACAACCCAGTCACAGTCATCCGAGCCTCTGGACGGATATCCAAACCACCAGCGCGCTCCACGCGCACACAAAACAAGGCGCTCCTGTCACATTCGCCGCAGATTCCCACGGCACACCCAGACATCAACATCACATTACTCCGCAACAAGCTGCTCCTGCAATGCCGGAGATACCTACCCTCGGACCTCCTTCATGAAGCACTGGCAGACGGCATCTACTCGCGTGCCACGCACTGGATCACGCCGTGCTCGAGCGCTGCATCCAAATTTGGCAAGCGGAAGAGATACTACGTGCTTGACTCGTCAACATTCACGTTCCAGTCTCTTGGCAGCGCATGGGAGGCGCGGATCCTGTCGGGTGGCAGCCAGCCCATTGACGCTGGCAACGGGGTTGTCATCTTTGTCAAGGAGAGAAAGGAGTGGGACGCCTTCATGGCGGGGTACAGAAGGCAAGGAAAGCGAGCGGGGCAGTTGATGAAGCTCAAGCAAAAAGACACAGAGAGAGGGTGGCGAGACGCGTGGAAGCGAAAATGCGGTATGGAAGAGGGCGGGGGAAAAGAAGTGAATGCCGGGCCCATGTGGGTGCTGGTCAAGAGCGCTGTTGCGAAGATTATCAAAGGCGAGGCCTGAGACAAGCAACAGGAGCGGGAGGAGGAGGTGAAGATCAAGTGCGGCAGCTTATGGCAGAATGAGGCGGAGAGGGCGAGGTGCGTGGGCGGCGGGGTGGGGAGGGAGAGCGGTTAGCATCATCAGCAGGCCGGAAGCAAAGGGCTAGGCCTCGGCGTTTTTCTCTTTGCATCATTCTTAGCGACCATTTTTTTAGACACGACCATTTACGATGGCTGGGGGGGGGCGGTAAGCGCGTTCCCTCAGCGCAACAACACCAGTAGAAGTACATACACACACATATACATAGAAATATATGTATCCTTAGTGGAGAACACACAGGGAACAAGAATGGCAGCACGGCTGTTGTCCGCATTGTTTCAGCCTCCCTTGTTCTCGCTCTCGGCGCTTTTTTTCATCTCATGTGCCCATGTGCGCTCGTCCCCCCTCCCCTCCCTTCCTCCCCCCGCCCTGAGCTTCAGACGTCCGCCCCACAGGGGACAAGGGCACAAGGGCGGGTGGACGCCACGCTAATCGCCCACTGGTTCCGAAACGCTAGCTTCCGAATTCCGATCCCCGAAAGAGGCTCAAACGTGGCTCGTGCCGCTCACATTAGCGTTCTCCGTCCTTAGCTCCGGCGCGCCGCACTTGAAGCCACGGTTGTCAAGGCAGACCGGGAGAAGCAGAGAGAAGAAACCAGGCACTAAAGCCAGGTGTTCATTCTCGCCTTTGGTGGCTTTTTCATTTATTATCGACATTACCCGCTGGATTTGACTTTTGCGCATTCTCATTCTATATCATCAGGTGGTGGTTTTCGTTTTCTGAGCGCTTCATCTCCTGCGCCTGTCCACTCCTTTTATCCCCCCCCCCCTCCAACCTTTCCTCGTCGACGCAGGGGACTCGCCAACAACCGCATTACGAAAGAGAAAAAATGGCACAGGCAGTGCGCCGCAAGGTCAATGAGACAAACGGCCATGCGCACCACCGTCTAGACGACGCAGTGCACTCGATTGAACAGAAGCTAGAAGAGCAAGCAGAACTGCATGCGCGAAACCCCCAGGAACAGAAGGAAGCAGGCCTATTCCAGCTCGTCATTTGCGTCGCTGGTATCTACGGAAGTTTGTAAGTACTACAGCACACATACATATGTAACGCGACAAAAGAACACCCGCTGACAAGCAACACCAGCATGACATGGGCCTGGATCCAAGAACGTCTAACAACCACCACCCACGGCCCCCGCAACGAACGCTTCACATACTCCATCTTCCTCAACACCATTCAATCCGCCTTCGCCGCCATAACCGGCCTAATCTACCTTTTTCTCTCCGCGAAAAAAGATCCACGAACCGGCGTTCGCACCGTCGCTCCCATCTTCCCTTCTCGCAGCATTCTCCTCCCGCTCCTGGGTATCGCGCTGACCTCGTCACTTGCTTCGCCCTTTGGCTACGCAAGCCTCAAACACATCGACTACGTCACCTTCATCCTCGCCAAAAGCTGCAAACTGCTCCCCGTAATGTTCCTCCACATCTCGCTATTCCAAAAACGCTACCCACTCTACAAGTACGCAGTCATCGGTTTCGTCACCCTCGGCGTCGCAGTCTTCACTTTGTACAGCCCATCGACAGCCAAGAAGGCCGCGAAGAAAAACGGAGCAGTAAACGCGGATGCGTCGCAGACTGTCGGCTTGGTGCTGCTAGGTGTGAACTTGCTGTTTGATGGACTGACGAATACGGTGCAAGATCACATCTTCACGTCTTTCAAGGGTTTTACGGGCCCCCAGATGATGTGTGCGCAGAATATCATGTCGACGGCGCTGACGGTGTCGTATCTCTTAATCACGCCTCTGCTTGCGTCTACGCCGCTGGCGTCATCGCTCGGGCTCGCGACGTCGGAACTCAGCGATGCGCTGGGGTTCGTGGCAAAGTATCCGGCTGTGGGCGCAGATGTGCTCATGTTTTCGGCCTGCGGTGCGATTGGTCAGGTTTTCATCTTCCATACGCTCGCGCATTTTAGTAGCTTGTTGCTTGTTACGGTGACGGTTACGCGTAAGATGCTGACCATGGTGTGGAGTGTGTGGTGGTTTGGGCACGAGATTACGAATATGCAGTGGGTCGGTGTTGGATTGGTGTTTGGTGGTATTGGTGCCGAGGCGGCGATGGGGAGGAGGGAGAAGGCTAAGAAGGCTGCTGCGAAGAAGGCCGAGTTGGAAGCTGCGGCGAAGAAGAAGTAGTAGTAGTAGAGGGTTTTTTTAGGGGGGTTGAAGATACATGGCGATACTTTTTCTTTTCTCTTGTACATTTCACGCACATTGCCGTTTCTTCACTCTGAAACTTTTGGAAATAAGGGAGAGGGAAGCACATATACCATAGATAAGAGTAGAACCAACGTAGAAGTCACACACACACACATCTTTATCCAAAAAAAAACATCATCATCATCATCATCATCTTGTCTAGCCATCTACATACCTTACTCGACAACCCCCTTCCTCGCCCACTCCCTAAGCACATTTTTCTGAATCTTGCCCGTACTCGTCTTGGGCAACTCCCGCACAACCACCACCTCCCTCGGCACCATAAACCGACTAATATGGCTATTCTCCTTGGCCCACTGAATCACCTCTGCGCCCAACGTCTCGCTATTCGACCCATCCTTCGTCGTCACAAACGCCTTGGGCCGCTCACCCCAGTGCGAATCGGGAACGGCGCAGACGCCGACTTCGAGGATGGCAGGGTGCGTCGAGAGCATTGCTTCGAGGGCGACGGAGGAGATGTTTTCGCCGCCTAGAAAAAACAACAACAAATTAGTGTCAGATCCAACTGACGAACTTTTCAAAAGCGGAAAGTAGGGGGGGGGTTGTTAAAAGGGAAAAGAAAGAAACATACCACTGATAATAATATCCTTTGCGCGATCGAGAATCTGAATTGCACCATCTGGATGCCAAACTGCCAAATCACCCGTATGCAACCATCCTCCTTCCCACAGCTTGCGTGTTGCCTCGGCGTCCTTGTAGTACCCCTTTGCGCAGATGTTGCCTTCGAAGATGATTTCGCCGATTTCCTTGCCGTCCTTCTCCACGTTCGTGAGGACGCCGGCGGGTTGCTCAGGCTTGATGACGCGGAGGGCTTTGGCGACGATGAAGCCGTGGCCCTGGCGTGCCATGCGGCTGTATTTCTCCTTTTCAGGCAAAGTATCCCATTCAGGCACGTGGTAGCCCTTTGTGATGGGTCCGTAGGTCTCGGTTAAGCCGTAGACGTGGACGGGGCTGAGGTTCAGGTTTGACATTTGCTCAAAGAGCCAGGCTGAGGGCGGGGATGCTGCTACGGTGACGCGGACGGGGTGGGGGAGGCGTTCGGCTTCTTTGGCTGCGCAGAGGAGGGTGTTGACAGTTGGGGCGGCGTTGAAGTGCGTTATGCCTTCTTCCTTGAGCAGACGCCAGATTTCTGGGTAGTCGATCTTTCGGAGGCAGTAATGTGTGCCTCGGACTGCGGTGACGGACCAGGGAAAGGTCCAGCCTGTGGCGTGGAACATAGGCAGTGTCCAGAGATACTTTGCGCGACCTGAATGGTAGTTGAGCCCGGATTCAATGACATTGCCCATGGCAGCGAGGTAGACTCCGCGGTGGGTGTATTCAACACCTTTTGGTCTGGCCGTGGTCCCACTCGTGTATGCCAGCGCAATAACATCTTCCTCGTTGTTTGCATGCGACTCCAGGTCCTCCCATCCTTTGCCGCCCTGCTCTACATCATACTTCAGTCCTTCCAAGACTGCATCGTCGAAGGGACCAGAGAGCTCGCCTTCGGTGGCATCCATGTCCGTGTCGATTAGGATTGGTACATTCGGTTTTGCCTTTTTGTAGTCGTCTAGCAAGCTCACAAATTCCGCATCTGCGATAATCATGTCTACATCCGAATGTTGGAAAATGTAGCTAATGTCATCAGGTTTGAGCCGATAATTGATAGCTACGTTTACAGCCCCCGCAGCTGCAATTCCAAATATGCTCTCCAGGAACGCTGGCGTATTGGTCGCCAGTATACCCACTCTCTTATACCCATGTTTCCTCAAGTAGTATGCCAGTCCTCGCGCGCGATCCGCAGCTTCGGCATAAGAACGCCGCAGGATTTGGTTGTTGGCCGTCTTGTGGTATATTGCCAAAGCATCGGGCTCAATCTGTGCGGCGCGCCAGAGAAACCATGTCGGGCTGAGCGTGTGGAAGTTGTGTCTGTGGTGGTATTCGTGGCTATCGCCGGGTTGAATGGGCGGTGGACCGGGTACGGGGTTTGCAGAGGTGAAGTGCGATGCGAGCTGCTTGAGACGGTCTTTGGCACCCTCCATGGTGTATGTCTTGCGTCTAACAACAATTGGGATGAAACAAGCTTTTATACACACGCGAGCTCCTGAGCCGATCTACAAGCTTGGCCAAGCTGAGCTGAGCTATAGACGCGTGAATGCGGAGCAAGTCCGCTGTGGGTTCAAGTGCGAGAGATGTCCGAACTCCTAGGCGCCACGATACTGTAGGACTGCGATGACAATCTCAATAACATTCAAAGGGGCACGGACAGTAAAAAGCAACGTTCAAATAAATCACAACCGAATCCTGAAAAAGAGACGCGTTGAAGCAGCGCTGGGCGGGTTGACACGTTGTGTCGTTACTTACGGCGCTGGATTGGGGAAATCTGGGGAAGGGATCCGATGCGGGACGACGTCAGGGCCGAGGTTAAGCACTAGCTGGCCTGCCATCTTTGGCCATTGGCCATCCAGCCATCCTTCCGACCGCGGCGGTTCTGCGTGCACATTGCCTGGTTTGCTTGCGTAAGATAAAGATATGAATAGCACTATTGGTCTGGTCAAATGCATTATCAAAGGGGACCGAATTGGATTAACAACATAACCGCCAGTCTATTGCGAACGCTCAACGCCATCAACATGCTTTACATCAGCTGTGATTTTTCATTTCGTATTGCTTCTAGCCGGAAGAGTACCTGAAGACACAGCAGACCGACCGCAAAGAGACCCATGAACACGTAAGCACTCTGGTATTGATGTGCTCTTTTAGCCTGGACACCCTTTCGAATGGTCGGAGTATAGTAGAGGAAAGAAACATCCCATGAGCCAAATGCAATCCACGCCGAACCACATCACCGAAACCGACACTGGTCATCAACTGCCGTTTTCTAGTATCCGAGGGCGGTAAGCTGCTCCTGGGTCTTGCTGTCCACGTTGGCCGTCTTCTTGGCCTCGGCCAACTGCCGTCGGAGGGCCTTCTTGCGCTCGTAGTAAGCGGCACCCTTGACCTTCCTGCGCTCCTCAAGACTGCACAAAATTTTGTTAGCAACACGAATTTGTCTGTTGTGGTCACAAAAACATACCGGGCAACAACGTCCTGGTACTTCCAGCCGAACTCGTGGCCGAGACGTCCGACAGTGCAGTACTTGCGGCCGGGCTTGAGCCTCAGTACCCTCAGGGCCTGGGGAACAACGACGCGCTTCTTCTTGTCGTAGGGGGCGGGGATACCCTCAAACGTCTTGAGGCGCTCCATGGCGGCGGCACCGCGAGCGGTCTTGTGGGGAATCATGCCGCGGACAGTTCGCCAGAACATCTTGGAGGGGGCGCGGAAGTGGAAGGGACCTGAGCGGCGGATTAGCACGTCGTCGGCGAATTGGCACACAGCAGAATTCTGGCTGTAAGAGTGCCGCAGATGTATGGGGGAGACATACCACCGCGGGTGGGGTTGAAACGGGTCTGCTTGCGCAGGAAAGCCGAGTACTTCACTGTATGCCACTGTCAGCTGCTGTCATTTGTTGGTTGGGGTGTTCCGAGAGCGCTTCGCAAGAGCAGTCACAATGTATGCCAACAAACATTCAATGCCCTTTGGTCAGCCCCCTCTTCATTTGCATTCATTGTGGCCTGCTGTCTACGTCGCTTGCTCGTATTCGGTGGGTGAACGTACGCTTCGCGCGGAAGAACTCGCCGGAGATGTTGAGAGCCTCACATCGCACGACGACGATCTTCTGGCCATTGAGGAGCTGCTTGGCGACGGTGCTGGCGAGGCGACCGAGCAAGTGGCCCTTGCCGTCGATGACCTGGGTGCGCTGTCAGCGAGAGGCTCCTTGGAAAGCAACTTGTGCATCGGTGTTGACAAGAGGCGCGGGCTGGCACGGCGACAAAGTGCAACCGCCTACGCTAGAAATATGCGGCTTCGTAAATTCGGGGCGTACGTACAATGACGGGTTCGAAGGTCGACATTTTGCTCGACTCCGGTGTGCTGTGAGGTTAGTTGTCGTGAAGAAAGAGCTCGTTGCAGCGGATTCCAATACCACCAACAGGCTAAGCGAATATTTCCACTGGTGTGTGTGTGGCCCGTGCGCGGCTTAGCGTCGCTCGAGAAGCCTCTGCCAGTCCTCTTCAGCGCAAGATGCTCGTTTGAGAGGCGAGGCACCTTACCGAGCTCGAGAGTTTTGTGCATATTCTTGCAGCTTTGTGTTGTCTTCTTTTTGTTGTGCTTATCGAAAATCGGGTGGGAGTAGTAGTACCGTGGTGCTGAGACCGCACTCAGAGAGTACCACTATCCTCAGAACGGCCATCTTCAAATCCGCAAAACACCTCTGTGATTTCTTTGCGCCTATCACAGCATTTTGCGATTGATAGGTATGTCGTATTCAGTAAGTGTAGCAGCATCCATTCAGATTCCGTATATGGCTGAGGTTGAGCATATCTGGACGTGAGAAAAAGAATAGCCTCAAGTCAATTCTTGTATTTTGCGCCAAGTTCGCAGCACATTGACCACACATCAGCTTACGATGAGGAACGCCAGAGTTTGGCTACAGAAAAAAGGACATGTCTGAAAATTCTCGCATTGAGGATTTTTCTTCATACCAAAACGGCAATTGATTCACTCCTTCTTTCGATAATGCACCCACAATAATAGTACATCGCTGGTTGATGTTGGCAAGTACGCCCTGCACTCTCGTTTCTTGCATTCTCATAAATTGAGGTGTGTTGCTCTCGAATCTTTCCAAGGAACGCGCAGCCGCTGTTGATTACAACGCGAAACCGCGGACTGAATGCCCATTTCCTCTTCCAGTCGCTTTTATGGTTGTGTACTGAATCAGCCATCGGCATCCATTTGATTTTTTAATCATGCCATGTTGGTACGAATGTGCTGACTATCAGTCAACCTGCTCAGTCGTACAACTAGTATCTATCATTTCATTTACTAGCTGTACCCACTTACCCACCAGCACTTGTCTCTTGTCACAAAAGAAGCCTCTCGCACACGGAACCCCATATACAAGGTTGCAGGCAAGCCCATTGTGCATAGGCCTTGATATTGCATCACTGGAGGATCTATGTCCGTTCAACACGAGAAATGACCGCAGAAATGCCGTCAAGTTACCGAAAAGCTTTTGATCTACCCCAACTTCTGCATGTGCAATTACTAAACCTTGGAGATCGGAAATAGTCGATCATAATTCATCTCGTCTCGACAGCACCAGGCTGCGAATGCTGTCTCATGGGTCTAGGGATTCAATTTACCATATCCAAACTCCGCGTGCGAGACAGGCTTCATTGCCTACATCGGAGAAAGCGGTGGACTGAAACCAATTGTTATTAATATATAACACATATGATATTGCCTGAGTTTCGTTAGTGGTGTGTACTTATGCGAATGGCTAGGCCTGCTCACAGGACAGGGCTATTGAGGCGTACGCTCACAACTGCACGTCTAGACTCCAAGACCCGGTCAGCGTGAGAGCAACAATCTTGGCATTTCATCATGCTTATGCATGGTTCATTCCAAGTGTCAGCGCAACGCCGAAAGTCAAAAGTAATTCACTGGGGGCCCAACCTGATGTGCGTATCTGACTTTTCCTGTGCCTTGGCCATTTCCCACGTACATACATTTCGAATTCGCTAATGCACGGAGCAGAATCTTTGCAGGCAACAGATGTTGATCAACCCAATCCTGTGGATGTCGTCACGACGATCGTCGCATCCCCTGGATTTTCGCCTCTAAGTTTTCCACAATCTTACCATAATCTTACATACGTTCTGGTTCAACAATCTGGTACGAAGCCCAGTTGTCACTAGTAAGCAACAGCTCCATGCAAACTATGTACCTGTTCGCTACTAGTCGGCGTAAATGGTAAAAACTCGGCTTCCAATGGTCTCTACGTTCAAGGGACCATGACTAGGGCAATTTTACAAGACTGTGACGTCTGCGCAAGCCAACACCCGGCGAGAACGTTGAGATCGATCGCGGCTTTCTATGCCGAAACTGGATATAACCCAACAAACAAGTTCGCAATTATTGCTCGGTGGTTAGTACTGCCTAGACTCTATGCGCTGGCTGTTGACCGCATGTCTTTCAATACGATCGACGCGGTCGTTAAACTGTGATCGAACGCACAGATCTGCAATCCGTGTGACATTTGACCGTCTGTTCGCAGATCAAAGGGACAGTTTCAGTGCACTGTAATATAGATACTCCAAGGATGGCTTCTCAACAACAGCGGAGAAGGGGCGGGTGACGGATGGAATCTTGTCTATGGGATAACGCTTTTCCTGTTCCTTTTGCATGGGGTAATATGGGCATTGGATGGTTGCCGTCGGCTAGCCACGTAGTCATGGTCCTGGCTGGCATGCTGCCACACTAAGTCGTGTCATGCGCCACAGCAAAACGCAGACGACTTGGCAACCCTGAACATCTGCACAACTGCCCTTGGCATTATGCACGTAACCTGCTTCTCAGCCACGTTTCACGCAGTGCAACACCAGCCGAGGACGCGACATGCGCCACTCCTTGGGTGGATATTGTTCCAGGTTTTTGAGCTGTGGCGCAAAAGGAATCGGACATGTTTGCTCTTTGTGTGGCTAGGGGCGTGGCTAGTGGTGTGGCTAGTGCAGTGGCTATGACAACAGCCGGTGCATGAGACGCATTGGCATCTCGGCTTACATGTCTATTTGCACCTGCGACTCATGGCAAGCAGCCAGTCAGAGGAGCCCTTTGGGCTGAGTCGGCTGAGTCAGCCGGAAGTCGGCACTCTTAGCTCAATAATATGCGCCACTAAACATCGTACCCATCAAAAAGGTGTTCCCACCTCCAACATCCGCATTCGGACCTCTCTTCATGCCAAGGGGCCTTGTTATGACGCAGGTGTGCAGTATCGGTACTTCCGAGAGGCACGAATGGGGTGACGCTCTACTTTTTTCCCCTTTTACTAAACAGCAATAGGCCACCGTTTCTCAAGGAATCTCTTGGCCTGTCTTCAGGAGCAGACTTCGCCATGTACGTGTGACCGTATTGCGAAGGAGCGCCTCGCCAATCCAATACGCTTTACCGGTACATACAAGGAACCTACGGGGAAACTAAAGCGGGAAACCCGTCTTCCCCCTGCTATCCCAAAAAAGGGCAGTCGGCGGACAGATGGCTCACGAAGCGGGCATGGACGGGTGCTGCCCACTTGTCAGCGCTCCTGTTTTGTTCGATGGTTGGGCATACAGGCTCGCAATGATTCTGCTACGCTGCGTAGGCCCATACATATCACGCTGACAAGAGAAATAGCCAAGGCATGGCTGGGGCATTGTGCGATGAATGAAATCGGTGAAGCAACCGCCGAATGCATAGAGACTAGGGTCACCAGCCGCAGTCAAGCCACGCTGTCATGTTTCTGGCGACTTTATCCGACGCTAAGAAGGTAAGGCTGGGCAACTGGGTCAAGTGGAGAGGACGATGCTTCGGAGCCTGGACCTTGTCCGCATCCCGAGAGTCTGTATCTGGAGGGCATGAAAGAATTGCAGCCGGTTGATAGCAACATGACGGATCCGTTAGTAACGGTATAGGGTGTGGGCACCTTGACCGCAAGCGAGAGTTGTTGACTGATGATCGTTACTCGAACAAGAGGCTTTAGAGCGCACGAGGAGCAACAAAAGAAGGCCAAGCTGCGACGGGACAGCGGGTCACGCCACTAGTAGGGCCCCCGGCGGTGCAGCGCCACGGCCAAAGATCCGCTTCTCTTCGCTTCAATGTCCAGAATGTATTGTTAAGCAGGGCCCCAGCTGGAGCCGTACCCTATGGCTGCTTCTTCCGTGGCGTGGATGGCGGCTCAGCAGGACCCCTCACCTGTGTGCCCCGTGGCCATGGGCTCCCAGCTGTGTGACGCCACAGGGCGCAGATTGAGCCATGGTAAGTGCTGACCACTCGACCACGATAGTGGTGTGCAGCTCCCGCTGTGCGTCCCAGGAGGTCTGAGTGCCGCCAAATCACCATTGCCACTGCCGCAAGTGGGGGCGGGAGCCCATGAGATAACCGTCATTCAGGTTCAGCCAAACGGTGCAGTAAACTCGACGGCTTGCTCTAGGCAGGGTCAATAGATGGCCGTGATCTTATTCATGGGGCTCCCAAGGCTACGTGCCGAGACCTGAACACAAAACCCGAGCTTGGCCTACAGGTAACAATAGAAAACGGACAACTCGGCGGACAGCAACGATTCGACTATTCGACTCCATCCATCGCCCAAGCCCGGCGGGACGGTGCCCATGCGACATGCGACGGCGCTAACCCTAGAACTAATACGTGACCCACACGCTTCTCCGCCGCAGCATAACCCTGTCGGAAGCATCCACCAGTTTACTCTTAGGCGCAGCATCCCCCCCAGCCACAGGACGCGATACTCGATGCTCTCCATCTGCCAACCATGACTTCCCCGGCCCTCACGACAGCTGAAGACCTGCCGGCAGAGTCTGTTCGCTCCGCCCCTTTCGAAACTCACCAAGAAGACACATCCGAATTCGGCGAAGAAAACTCGGAAACTAATGACGTCGGCGACGATCAGCCACCCAAGCCGCAGCCTCAGAAAAGACGACGGGTGACACGTGCCTGTGATGAATGCCGGCGCAAGAAAATCAAATGCGACGGCAAGCAGCCGTGCACGCATTGTACCGTCTATAGCTATGGTATGTTGGTAGCCACGTGTATAGCCGGAAATAATCTTGTCATCTTTTGAACGCACGCTAACACAGTACAGAATGGTAAAAAGCCCCCGGATAGAAGCGGATATTGCAAAATCTCAAACTAACACCCTGCCAGTACTTACGATCAACCATCAAACCGCCGACGGAACGCGACTCCTCAGTATATTGAGGCCTTGGAGAGCCAACTCAAGCGTGCCAAAGCCTTATTACAGGTGGTGCTTCCGACTGTAGATTTGAACGACCCCGCCATCGATGCTCATCTTCAGAATGGATTGCTACCACAGCTGCCCCAGGCGGCTCCCCGACTTCCCGTGATGCCCATGGAATCACGCGCGCCCCAGCATCATGTCTCTTTGCAAAATGAAGATGCTCCTGACTCACATCTCGAGGCCATGGTCAAGGCGACAGGCCAGCTCGATCTTGACGAAGAGGGAAACTGGGATTACCAAGGCCATTCTTCCGGACTTAGCTTCATGAGGGGGCTGCGCCAATTTGATGACATGTTTCAAATTCTACCAGATGCCTCGCCGTCTTTTAAGCAACGTACAATGTCCTATGATGCATCTTCGCCAAGTGCTCTTTCCATAGCTGGATCTACGTCCTCAGCGGTCAACGTGGCTCTTCCCAGCAAAGAAGAAGCACGCACTCTGTGCGACAACGCTATTATTCAATACACTGCCATGCTCCGAGTGGTACATCTTCCTACTTTCTACGAGCAAATGGAACGTGTATACAAAGTAGCACCCGAAAACTATGGAAGTGCCGAAACTAGTTTCTTACCTCTGCTTTTCGCTGTTCTGGCCCTAGGAACGCTCTATTCAGAAAATGAGCAGGGCGCTGATGTTACGGGTTATGACGCCCTAACTGACGAGGGGTAAGTGATTCTCCCAATGGACGCCAGCACCCTCAAGCTAACATACCCAGACTCAAGTACTTCAAGGTTTCCCGTCAACTCCTGGACATTACCGATTGTAGGGATTTAACATCGCTTCAAGCTATTGTTTTCATGATACAGTTTTTGCAGTCATCGGCAAAGCTTAGCACATGCTATGCTTATATTGGAATAGCCCTACGCTCAGCACTGCGTATGGGTTTGCACCGCTCATTCAATGTTACATTCTCGCCTATCGAATCCGAAACACGTAAACGTATATTTTGGGTCATCCGGCGAATGGACACATATGTAGGAGCTATGCTTGGACTACCGCGCTTCTTGGAAGACGAAGATATTGATCAGGAATGGCCGGCCGAAGTCGATGACGAATATATTACAGAAACTGGGATTCTGCCTATGCCAGAAGGGACCATTTCCGTCATGGCTGCTTTCAATGCGCATACTCGTCTCGTACAAGTACTGAACAAAATCTGCAAATATGTGTATCCTATCAAGGGTACGCAGTCGGGTGGCAAGAATTCAGTGACATACACTGTGGGTTACTCCAAGATTCGAGAAATTGAGAAAGATTTGGCACGTTGGCTAGACGAGTTGCCTGCCGCACTCAAGCCCGGTGGCGAGGTTCCACCTGTTATCAAAAGGTATGTTCAGAGTCCCTTTTTTTCCATATCTGTTACATCTGCTGATAGGTATGACAGGGTTCAGCAGCTTCTTCGCATGGCTTTTGGACATGCACAACTCTTGCTATACCGGCCATTTTTGCACTATGTTTCGCAATCCTTCAGCGCCAAAGCTGTTGACCAGAGGGCATTTGCATGCGCCTCTGCTTGCGTCAATGTCTCCCGTAACATTATCCACATCTCCACGGAAATGCGGAAGCGCGGTGTGCTAGCCGGCGCATATTGGTTCTCCATGTACACGACATTTTTTGCTATCGTATCAATTCTCTACTTTGTGTTGGAAAACCCTACTAGTCCCACTAGCTTTGAGTTGCTACGAGATGCAGTGGAAGGCAAGGAGGTCCTGGCCTATTTTGCAAAGAGAAGTCTGGCAGCGGATAGGTGCAGTATCGCGCTTGAGGTATACAAAACACACACATACACACAAATAAACCTGTTCAGCTAACCGTTTTAGGGCATGTTCGAACGGCTACCAGAGTCTATCAGACATGGTGGAGAAATTATTGCGTCAAAAAAGCGCCGACAAGGAAGTTCGCCACAATCCTCAGGAACAAGACCTCCCTTGGCCAGTCAAAAAGAAACGGCAGCCCCACGACGAGCGAGTACCTATCCTGACAGCATTCCACACGTCAAGACAGCTGGCCCTGGCCCGTCCTATCCGTCTCCCCATAGCCATTTTGCTGGGATTGGCTCAAACTCTTCGTATCCTTCACACTCAATCTCTAACCCTAACTTGTTCGATGGTGTTCCAGGTCTCACACCTACATCTTCCAATGACAGTCTGCCAAGCTTTGGTATGGCTCCTATCCATGACGCGCAACAAAGCTCTGTCTACAGTCCTTCGGTTTTAAGCAATTCATTCACAGATCCATCAGGCATGAATGTGCCAATTGCAGACATCTCGACTATGATGTTCCCTTCTACCGACCCTCTTGCCTATCCAAATCAGCCAATGACTGCTTTCGAAAACAGGCATCCTCAAGCGTTCGATCGCAGCAGTGTTCCACCAGTGAGCAGTGGCCTCCCACACCCAATGCCTTCCGGTATAGACGTGAAGGGACATCCTCCCATGTTTGCACCAACCAGTATGCCTAGTGGGCAAGGTCGGCCACAGAACGACAGCGAAGCCCAACTGTTTAGTAATATTCCCATGTACTTGATGCAAGGTGCACAGCAGTACCGAGCCTACCCACAGCCAGGGATGCAAATACAAGGGCCACACAACGTTCAGTTCGATGACTTGCTTACTCCAGAAGACTGGTCACATTCTTTCATGGATCCAGCGTTGACCATGGGTAATGGGAGACCGCCACATCAGCAATTTATACCGCATGGGTGGCGCTGAGACAGCGATTCTAATGGACGTATGGTTGACCGAATCGGAGCGGCTCCAGATTCAGAATACCGCTTATTATTCGACTGCGAACCCTAATCACAGGCTAGAGAACTACCCCAAGCCGGAGCCCTTACAAATCATTCAAATAAATGACGCTGCCACATCCCGAATATCTTCAATCGGCCGGCCTTTGCGCATTACGAGCAACGGCCATACATTTTTTTTCCCTAGTGTATATGATTTTCATCGGCGTTTTCAAGTATCAAAAGCGTTATACCCCAAGGCAACCGGCTGGCACCGAGAAATTAAGCATTTTTCAACGGTTGGTGGAGGACGAGGGCAGAGCCTCGCTGCTCAACGTTGCAACTCCGGTGTTCACTTTGATTGCGACCTGTACAATTCGCTCTAGTGTTACTTCTATTTTGTTGGTTCCATACTTCTACTTTTCCAATCTAGGGCGGCGTTCGACTCAACGGAATAGAAGGATGAATATACGGACTTGCGGTCGCTAGTCCCTTCAACGTACAGTTTCTTTTTTTCCGCAAGGGCATTCATGGAAAGGGGGCAGAAGCTGAAGAGATACATTACCTCGACTCGTCTCATAGAATGATGACCACCTGCCTTATTAGAGTAGTAAATCGATTCACGCATACCAACGGCACATTTGATTCAATCGCAAGAAACGGCGGACTAAATCAACCGGGGCACTGAACCTCTCCTTCCAGGCAGCAACCGCAGAACGCAACTAACCGCTTTGCGGATTTACTGTGCAGTTTGCCGAGCGAATAGCCGAGCATCCAGTGGCCACGACTATCCTTGGACGAAGGTCAAGTACACCTAGGCGTAGTCGAGGACCAGTGACTGCAAGACACTGCATGTAGGCGTAAGGCGGACACGAAGATGCTGCAGCAGGGCGGGGTAGAAGAAACCTCCCGGTATTTCCAAGACCGATGCCTAGCATGACACCATCCACCGACATCCGCCAAGCCAGACTACTCTTGTGGGTTGTCATACGCCAAGAACAACTACCGCCATTGGCAGCCCAGGCTAATGTGGAGAATTCGCAATTGCCAAGCGTGAAGACCGGTTTACTCCAGCCATCTCGCAATCAGCGGCCGTCATGTTTCTACCACAAGACCGGGTTTCTCATCCCTACCCGTCACTTGGGCTCTTGGAACCCAAGCCTACATATCTAACGACCTTCTTAACCTGGATGATGAGTGTAGATGTAGAGGTTAGCCTGCGATGTGCTGATAGGCTCAGTGCTGGGATTTTACGAACGGGCGGTGTTGGGTCGGACCAAGTATAATGGGGACGGCTTTCTAGGCAGTTGGGGGATAGCGGGAATGTATAGTCGGGTGCATATATAATGTGTGTGTATTACCTGGTTGCTGGGAAGAGCAGCGAGTTCTATTGCGGTTTTTCTTGTCGTTCTAGAAGTGAGGCTCTGCTGTAGTAATTATGGTTTTGTTGCCCTTGTTGTCAGTGCTTGGCTCTGCTGCCGTGAGCAGGGCGGCGATGCTTGGTACCGCGGCTGAGTATGACGACGGTACTGTGCACCATATGATTATGGAGATGAAGGTGGTATGTAGATGCTGCTTTTTTCTTTTAGTGTCTGTTCGAGATTGGCTTTCGGGGCTAACGTTATGATTTAGGCCCAGTGGGATGCTGAACTTGCCTCTGGCCAAATGGACAGCTCAAGGTACCCTGAGTTGGGCTATACGCCGTGTGTGGATGGTTTTGCGGCTGCGATTCCGGGAAACTACAACAATACCTTCAAGTGCCATAACGTCAGTTCTTCAATTTCTAAATAACATGGCCGTGTGGCTAACACGGATTAGATTGACCTTTACCACTTCCTGCCACACCACCTTCTTGGAAGCAGCCAGGGTCAAGGTTCCTCATCGTGGGGCTGGACATCTGAAGACGGACGTGAGTTTGTCGCCATTGGTCAGTTTGATGGAACTGCATTTGCGGAAATCACCAGCGAGGGCAAGATGGTTTACCTTGGACGGCTGCCACAGTACGACGCCATTGGATCACGGTGGCGCGAGATCCGCGTCATGAACGACTACGCAGTGATTGGTAGTGAGGCCATCAAGCACGGAGTACAAATCTTCGACATGAAGAAGCTGCTCGACTTGGACGGCAGCGAGCCCAAGAACTTTACCCAGCAGGATCTTACCGGTCATTGGGGGCTTGGCAAGAAGTGGAATGACTTGCCCGTAGGCAGGACACACAACATTGTCGTCAACCCCGAACTCAACTACGCCGTTGCCGTTGGTTCTGTCGGCGGCAACGAGACTATTCGTGTCCGTGGAAACCTTCCCTGCCGTGGAGGTCTTATTTTCATCGACATGACTGACCCGTCCAACCCCACCAGTCCCGGGTGTGCAAGCGCTGACGGGTATGTACACGATGCAGAATGCCTGGTCTACCGCGGCCCAGACACGAGATACTACGGCCGCGACATTTGCTACGCGAGCAACGAAGATACGCTTACTATTTATGATGTTACGAATAAGACGGGCAACACGACGACGATCATCTCGCGGACGTCGTACCCTGGCGCCGAGTACGTCCACCAGAGTGCGGTCAACAACGTCACGTGGCAGGAGTACCTCTTCCTCGATGACGAGTTTGATGAGCGCGACGCAAAGGTAGGACCTATGACACAGGGTCTGCCTACTACTCACATCTTCGACATCCGCGACCTGGAGAACCCCTTCTACTCGGGCAACTACGAGGGCAAGCGCCGAAGTATCGACCACAACCAGTACGTTGTAGACAACTACCTCTACCAATCCAACTACGGCAACGGACTTAACGTCTTGGACATCAACTCCATCACCTCGGACCCCACTGGCGCAGGTATCTGCGAAGCCGGTTTCTTCGACATCCACCCTGAAGACGACGAGAACGAGGGCGGCGGCAGCGTCGCCTTCGTCGGCTCCTGGTCATCGTACGCCTACTTCAAATCCGGCTTCATCTTCGTGCACACCATCGAGCGCGGCTCTTTCGTCGTCAAAATGACCAGCAAAGAGTGCGAGAAGCCCAAGGTCTGCTCTGTCGACGGCTGCCTGAGCGGCATGCGCACAGCAAATGTCGAGGGGCGGTTACAGGAAAGCCAGGAGTTCTGTGGCAATTTTACAAAGAGACAGATTGAGGATGAGAGGGTTGTGCCGGACTATGCGCGGACCGCGTGTGCTGGCAATGATACTGTGGCGAGGGTTAGCAGTGCGTGTGCTTGCTTGCCTACGCTGGCGGTACCCGAGTTGCCACGTACAACAAGTCGCCCGCCGGTGCCTACGGTGTTGCCGCCAAGGTTGTAGGAAGATGTATGTAGTAATGGATGCGTCGAGAGTATTCTCACAGCATAGCAAAAGTAAAAGTCGTAGATTAAGAAAAATTAATTCTTACGCCAAATTCTTCTTCTAAAAATGCGTGAGAAGCGAGTTGTTTGTATAATTTGTATTCTACAAGATCTAATAGTCACTTGTCAATCTTACCTCATGGTAAACAACGTGGTGGTGCCTGGTACATGGTGGACCAAAACGGACTAGCAACACGCGCCACATGCTAGCGCATGTGGCTCAGCCGCCGAAATCGATGTAACGTCATTGTTGCTGGGTTCGCTTGACAGATGAGAGCTCGCCCACTTTCTGGACACTCGTCTCCTTCCTCCTCACCAGAACCTATTCCATTGGATGCTGCGATTGCGCATGGGAATGCTGTAACAGCCAGATCCATCTCCTACCTCGCCATCGCAAAGACGCCATCATCCCTTTATAGAGCCCGTCAGCTCTCGCCGAGCATCATATACACCTACCTACTGCACAACAATGGCAACGCAGCGCAAACCTCTGTCCGCTGAAAGCAACGGTACTCCTACTACAGCTGAGACGCCTTCCGGTACCATGCGCCTCCCTACCTCGTCTGCTCGTCGCTCGCCGTTCCTCCCTACGCGCCTCGAGGCCCAACTCATCGCCATCTACCCACTCACCCTCCTGCTCGGCAGCGTGTTCAGCACGCTATCGCCCTCGACGCGCAATGCACCCTACTCTGCGAGCCTACAGTCCCATCCAGTCGAGTTCGCACCCTCGTACTTTGCGCAAAAGAAGAACGTCTTCAACGTGTACTTTGTCAAAGTAGGCTGGCTCTGGACCACGCTCGCGTTCGCCGTTTTTATCATCTTTCACCCCAGTTTCGGACAGGGTGCAAGCACGAGACGATTGAGAGCATTCTTGAGATATAGTCTTGTGACCATGTGGTGGTACTTCTTAACGCAGTGGTTCTTTGGCCCGCCGCTTATTGATCGCGGGTTCAGATTTACAGGCGGCCAGTGCGAGCTGCTGAGGAAAGACGACGCGAGGGATGATATGAGCACCCCGAGGGAATACATCACGGCTGCAACGTGCAAGGCGGTGGGGGGCACGTGGAAGGGTGGTCACGATATCTCGGGTCATGTCTTTTTGCTCATCCTTGGGTCTTCGCTGCTATGGCTCGAGTTTCTCCCTGCATTGACGCGCGTTGAGGGGCTCAGGGACGGCAGGTTGATTACCCTGCCTGATGGTAAGGTTGCGAGTGTGGCCGTGGAAAAGGATCTGGCCAAGGCTGAGGGCGAGGCTACCGCTCGAGGCGTCAAGTTTGCTCTCGGCGTTGCGGCGTTGATGTGGTGGATGCTGCTCATGACCGCGGCTTACTTCCACACTTGGTTTGAGAAGTTCACGGGACTTCTAGTGGCATTTGCGGGGCTGTGGACCGTGTACTTTCTTCCAAGAGGTGTCCCGCAGGCAAGGGCGTGGTTGGGCATGCCCGGTGTATGATGAATGGGGGATTGATCATCGGGTGGATTACACGGCACTTTCAGTCTTTTGATCAAGAAGGTTGAACGCGCGGAATCGCATAGCTTGTCTTACAATGATGAGTAGGATGTATTGAGTAGAAGCATACCAGGCGTAATATTGTTTAATTCCATGTACCACCATTTTGACCTCGCTGTACCTTTCCATCATTCCTTCCATCCTATGTAACACGAGATTCGATCGTCCCCACAGGGATCAGCACCGATGAACCTCGAAGCACCCAAGATCTCAATCCTCCCGCTTCCGAAAGCCCTTTCCGCTTCACTCCGCGCCTCTTTTCTTGATTTTCAGTAAAGAAAACCTCTGCGTGCATCATACGATGTGTGAATATCCTTGCAATTATTTTCTACTCCTCGGGGCATCCAACACTCGTACAAAGTAGATTCTCCCGAAGCACCCAATCCCATCATCCCAAGCGGGGGTCCCCCGCACTTCCTCCACTATCGAATGCGCGCGCAAAAAGTACCAAGTACATACCCGAACCCCCATTAGTACACTGTATTCGGGAAAAGAGAGGGAAAAAACGCACGAGTTATTTACCCATGACGCCATTAGTCCCACTTTCACCGTCGGTGCACGCCGTCCGAGATGCGCAACCGCAGACCATTTTCATGTCCTATCCCCAACGTGGTAGAGCATCCGCCCACGCACCCTTTGCTGCAAGCACTCTTCTACCAATCACTGTGTTCTCCGTTAATTCTCCGCCTTTTTCCATGCTTGCTTGATGGGGGTGGGTTTGGCGGACGAGGTTGTCTGCTTGCCGGACCCCAGGATTTTGCCCGTTTTCCCCACCTTTTTTCCCCTCACGGATGGTTGGAGGTGCGGATGTTCTTTTGTAAGTAGGTGAGGGGGACGATCTCGGAATGGCGAGCGATCGGTCGGACTGGCGAGGTGGGTTGGGGTAAATATGTATATAAATGGTAAATAGTTCTGTTCGTTGAGGGTTTTCTTTTCGTGTTGATGTACTGTTGTTTGCATCGAGCTTGAATCTCGCCATGTTGGGTTTCAAGGGAGTTTGTGCGTTGGGCCTGTTGGTCCGCGCTGCTGTTGGACAGGATGGTAGGTTTTGTTTGCACAACTTGAACTCGATTGAGAACGGGACTAATTGAGAGGAATGGTAGCTGTTACGGCGAGTGGAACGAACTTTACGCTGACGGCAGATGGCATGTCGTACCTTTTCCACGTGGATACACAGTCTGGTGATCTCAGATCAGATCATTTTGGAGGACCGGCAACGGACTTTACGCCGCCAGCTCGCATCTCCTCCAGTGGATGGGTTGCTGGAGTCGGCAATGCTCGTCGCGAGTTTCCTGATATTGGTCGTGGCGACTTTCGCTTGCCTGCTATCCATATTCAGCATGCAGATGGCGACACTGTAACAGCACTCCTGTACCAATCTTACGAAATCTCACAGGGAAAGCCTGCGTTACCGGGGCTACCAGCGACGTATGGAGAAGCTGGTGATGTTACCACCGTGACTGTTCACTTGTACGACAACGTTTCGGATGTCTCGGCCGCACTCCTGTACTCGATCTTCCCCAAGTACAATGCTATTGCACGTAGCTTTACCATTACCAACAATGGAACTGCAAACATCTCGATTGAGAGGGCAGCGAGCTTCAGCACCGACTTTCCCAATGTCGAGCTGGAAATGATCGAGCCTCATGGCGACTGGTCTCATGAGTTCCAGACGGTACGGAGACCGATTGACTATGGCGAGACTACGTGAGTATTTTCCGAAGTGATGGAGACTCTTGACTGACGGAGAGCAGATTCCGGAGTACTGCTGGCTACGCGTCGCATCTACACAATCCTTTCTTCTCACTTGTATCGCCCACTACCACTGAGTCAACTGGAGAAGCATGGGGATTCAGCTTGATTTGGACTGGTAGCTTCGCCGCGACTGCTCAGCGCTTCTCCAACGGTTACGTACGGGTGCTTATGGGTCTCAATCCAATTCATGCAAGCATCCCCGTTGGACCGGGCGAGACTTTTCAGTCTCCCGAGGCTGTTGGTGTTTACTCGTCAGAAGGTGTAGGAGGCATGTCGCGGTCTTTCCACGACCTCTACCGTAACCATCTCTCCCGCTCCAAGTTTACGAACCAGACGCGGCCGATTCTTCTCAACTCATGGGAAGGGTTGCAGTTTGATATCAACGAGACTTCGCTCGTAAGTCTTGCTGGTGAGGCAGAACAGCTTGGCATCGAACTCTTCGTCATGGACGATGGTTGGTTTGGTACCAACTATCCGCGCAACAACGACTCGCTCGGTCTTGGTGACTGGACGCCCAACCCTGCCAAATTTCCCAACGGTCTCGGTCCATATGTTGGCCAAGTAACCGACTACAAGGTACTGAACGAGTCAAAGCCCATGCAGTTCGGTATCTGGGTTGAACCAGAAATGGTCAACCCCAACTCGACGCTTTATCAAGAGCATCCTGACTGGGTTTTGTCCGCTGGAAAGCACCAGAGGAGTCTAACACGCAACCAACTCGTCCTGAATGTCGGCCTGCCAGAAGTACAAGACTTCATTATCAACGCCGTTTCCAACATCCTCGATTCAGGAAACATCACATATGTCAAGTGGGACAACAACCGCGGAATCCACGAAATGGCGCACCCATCCGACGACTACAAGTACATCCTCGGTCTCTACCGCGTCATCGACAACCTCACCACCAGCTACCCCAACGTCCTCTTCGAAGGCTGTGCCTCAGGCGGCGGCCGCTTCGACCCCGGTCTCCTCCACTACTGGCCTCAATCCTGGACCTCCGACAACACGGACAGCTCCGACCGCCTTACCATCCAGATGGGCACATCCCTCGTGTACCCGCCCTCAGCGATGGGCTGTCACATCTCTGCGGTCCCCAATCACCTCACGAATCGCAACATTAGCTTCGAATACCGCGGCCACGTAGCCATGATGTGCGGTTCCTTCGGCCTCGAACTCAACCCTTCGGAACTCTCCGCCGAAGAAGCCTCCGCCGTCCCCGCCATCATGGCCGCCGCTAAAGAGGTAAACCCCGTTGTCATCTCCGGTGACTTCTACCGCATTGCGCACCCTGCGCAGTCAAATTGGCCCGCAGTTCAGTTTGTGAGCCCGGATGGCGCAAGGAGCGTTGTTCTTGCGTTCCAGCAGGCTATGAAGATTAAACCCGCTGCGCCCCCTGTGAGGCTCCAGGGTCTGGATCCCAAGGCGAGGTATAGGAATGATTTGGATAATGGGACGTATAGTGGGGCGACGTATATGAATAGGGGCATTAATGTGAGGTGGGAGCCGATAGATTATCAGAGTAAGTTGATTTGGTTGGAGAGGGTGTGATTGGGGAGTAGTAGAGGAATGGATATATATATGTGTTAATCAATATGAACATACGAATCGTACTACTGCGTGTTGTTTTAGTACATGTGGGGTAAGCGTATGCTTTGTCGTTTAAACAACGGTGCGCTAGTAGGACTACGTAGTGGTGAGACTAAACGCATGGTAGTAGCTAGACAGAAGCATTAGAGTTTGACACATCTACTACTAGATAACTACAACTTTACAGACGAACAAGACCAAGGCAGAAGCACACATGTATCACATCAAGCATGAGAAGCGAAAAAGGTTGCGTCAGGCACTCAATGCCATTCAGATATATACAATTATAAAAACGAAGATATACAACAAGAATTAAGAGAGAGTTAGCACCAGTCTCTGACCGACACTGTAGTCACTTTTTATCCCCAAGAAATTGTCTCAACCGCTTAGCAAGAAGCGCCAGCAGGAACGTTAAGGCAGCTGGAGCTCTTCTTTCCACCAGTAACGCTAACGCCGGACCAGTTCCAGCCAGAGCAGCTTCCCTTTCCGCAAAGGACGTAGATCTCAGTACCGGATCCGGTAACGGTACCGGCAACGTTCTTAAGCGTAACACCGGTGATGGGGACGCCAGTGGTGGGCTTTCCAGTTGGGCCGCCGTTAAGGTAGTCCTGCTCGATAACGATGCCGTACTTGGCAATGTTTCTGAGGGTGATGTTTTCGTAGGTGATGTCGGAAACGGAGCCGGTGGCGCCAGAGATGGTCTTGATGCGGACGCCGTTGTCCGAGTTGGCGATGGTGGTGCCGCTGACGGTGACGCCCTTGACGGTGTTGTCTTTGCGGCCGCCGACAGAGCCGATGGAGACGCCGTGGCCGCCAGAGCACTGGCAGTTTGTGACGTGGATGTTGCTGCCGGAGTTAATGGCGACACAGTCGTCTTGGTTCTTGACGTTGGCGTTGGAGATGGTGATGCCGCTGGAGCTGCCGATGTCGAAGGCGTCGGTGTTGTGGCCGCCGGCTGAGTCGCCTGCGGTGTTGTCGATAGAGATGCGGTCAAGAGTCAAGTCGGTGGCACCGTTGATGGAGAAGGCCTGGACGGGGGTGTTCTTGATGTTGAGTCCGCTGATTGAGGATGTGGTGAGGGAGTGAGCGTAGAAGAACTGGATTGGTTAGTCAGCCTACGGTTCAGAGTAATTTCCGTGAATTCCTTGCTTACTTTGGGCTTAGTCTTGCCTCCGTTGGATCCCTTTCCGTCCCACCACTTCTGACCAGCGGCATCAATGGTGTGGCCGGCGGCACCCACCACCTTGATGTTAGTTCCGGAGACGGAGATGAGCGGGCCTTCCCACTCCTTGTATCCAAAGGTAGTTGTGCCCTGGAAGGTGACAGTAGTACCGGACTTCAAGCCCGTGAGGTCCAGGGTGGTACCAGCAGGAACAGTCATGCCGCTGATGACAATGTTGGTGCAAGAGGCCTTGTTCTTGATAGCCGTTGCAGCATCGGTGAAAGTGCATCCAGCGCGGGCATCAAGACCTGATGGCGCGGCAGAGACGAGCGCACCAGCGCTCAGAAGCATCGAAGTAAGAGCATATGCGACCATTTTGCTAACTGTTGAAAAAAGAGAACTCAGAGCCGAATATATAGTTATAGAATCAAAAGAACAAGAGAAGGAGTGTGTTAGATGATACTGAAAATAGGGAGGCAACACTACAATACTTATACAAGGATTCCAAACATGAGGGGGAGAGTGGCTTCCCCACAGGCCTTGTTAAGCTAAGTAATTCTAGCTCTAGAATCTCGGAGGCTTGTCGCTCTAGGCAATGCTTGACATTGCGCTAGGCCACGTGTTGGATGGGCATGAGTAGTAAAGAAGCGGAATGACAAGCATTGGAGGATCCATCTGATCGATTTCTCCGCTTTGCAAAATGCTCGTAGATTATATCGCCGTATTCTGGAAGATTTTGCTCTTGAGCGAATATTACTGTGTAGTATATGTCTGCTCTCTGTCAGCCATCAGCGCTGCGAAGCGTTCGGCGGAGCTTCAGATATCTCATCTCAGATGTCCAAAACAAGCCGGTAGTTACTGTGCCGACCCATGCTGAAACGAAATTACAGCGATATGGTGAAACATGTGTGGTCAAAAACGGGATGTAGGATCGTGGCGCTGCTGTGGCGTAGCGCCCTAGTCGGCACTTGGGTGCCGAACACGGGTTGCGTATTTACACTGCCGAGTATGACCGATTGACGGAACAACTAGCTTCATCTATATGAAAGGGGGAGGGAGTGCGAGAGGGGCCGCTGAGGCTCCCAGGCCCTGAAAACCTTAAGTGGATGCCATCAGATATCCCGACAAAGCGGGTTACTATAGTAGCTACCGAAGCTCTGGTAGGGATCGTAGCATTACAACGTCGTTGGCATTGCCTATTCCTACGGTTGAGAATATATCGCTCACGCTTGCAGTCCCTACTTCTCGCATTTGTTAATATGTGTTTAAATTGAAACCCATTAGCGTCGCGCCACGCGGCCCAGCTGCCGGTTGGTGCGTTCTTCGGACATCACAGCATCAAATGCTCCCACCTCGACAAATTTGATTTTCGACGTGTACGGCCGGTACTGAGCTACATACTGTAACACTGTTCGAAGATGGGTCGATATTTCGGACAAAAAAGATTATATTCTAGTACATAGCTATCCACGAATAAGCACCATGCGACCCAGTTTCGCAACAGTGGGTTCGCTATCACACCCACCTTCGCTTTCATTCGCGCAATTACTCCCGCATCGGAAAATAAATACAGCATGAATGGTCCCTCTTTAGGCGCATCCAGGTAATCCAGGAGCCAATCAGCACACCAGAATAGATGAAGACAACGGGCTCCGTATATCCTCAAATCAATCTCATCGAAACGAGTTGCCATGCGGGATCGTATTCCTTAGGCTTGCCGATTGCCCATGCAAACGCGGAGGCTAGTGCGGACACCGATTAAAGGCAAGACGATTCGTGGACAAACCCGACACCAATAAGCTTGAAGTAGGCCTCATTTAGAGCTCCAATAAGACCATATAATTTGGAAGTTGGCAACAAGTCGTCGTACGTATACGGATTACGCACAAGAGTTGATTCGTAATGCGTGATGCGCTTCGACATCAGTTGTTCAGGAAAGCCGCGGATTAGCTGGCGCGCTTCCTATGGTCTCCTGGATTGACGATTCGAGGAAAAACATCACACTGGGAGTAGCGGGCAAGTTCAAATGGGCCCTTTGAACTATCTGCTCCCGGAAGCTAGCAGATGAAGGGCACATGCCTACCAAATAAGGATCGTTCACCACCACTGGGATATCCAGAAGCACATGCCTCGGTATTCCTGCCATACGCTGCTTGAACTGTTCCATATATTGAATCCGGGGGGGTTCCCAGCTTGATCTCTTGCATCGGCATAACTATGTTTGAAAGCTTTTCCAGGATTGCTTTCGGTGCTGCTGCGTCGAACAGTAGACTATAAAAGTGAGTAGCGTAATCTGAGACGGGAAATTGGGTGACCAGTTCAGCCAGCAATAGGCTTGAATAGGAATATTACCGAGATGGTGTACTCAAAAGCTCGAGGTCCTCGTTTTTGATAATGTTGAGGTGAAAATCTTCAGTTTCAGTCATCTTGATAGCCTCAGGGTAAGGTAACGATGTCGCATTGTACGATGTCATTAATTTCTGGTGACTACTTATGTTGGTACGAATGATGGATGTCTGCAATAAGCTACCTATATATGTAGCGAGAGGAACCTGGCGAGTGGAAAAAGGGGGTGGAAGTTTGTTCGTCTCGGAGTGTTGGTCCAAATGTATTTATAATGACTGCTTGATGGCCTCGTGAAAATGGAAGGAGAGACTCACAGCAATGAGCTCGACGAAGAAACAACGTCGGTCTCGTGCGATTGTAGCTGCTTTTACCTTTCGCAGACTTGCTCGTAATTCTGTAAACTTGGTGAAAATTCCATCTGGCAACAGCATGGTGTTTGTCTGGTATGCACTGAGAAAAAGCGCAACTTTAGAGCCTTAGCATATCATGTGTAATTTGAAGCTGATATGCTGTGCGCCCTCAACATATGCAACCGTACTGTGCCCAGGAAGGGCCTCTCTCTATTCCTTTCTCATACTATGCTTGTAAATAATTGAATAAATTTAGAGGAATGCATGTATTTTTCTTGACTGGCCGTTCGCGAATTTGAAACTTGATTCTTCTTAACTGGTGCATGTCTTGAGCAATTTTTCTCCAGGCCTGTTCTTGATATGGCGCTGGTTGAATCACATGACTCACTGTGTATGTAGTCATCCAAATTTCAACTCGACCAGTTACTTGGCCAAGAATAGCGCCCCTGGGACAGCTAACTGGGACATCATGTGATTTCGGAACTAAATTCAATCAATCAACTTAGGCCTACTTCTTACTCCTAACTCATCGTTTGGCTACTGCGATTCTGGCCCCATCTCATCGGTTCGAACAAATCAAATACACTCAATCTCAAGGCATGGAAAATCGATAGCGTTATGGTTCCCAGTCTGCTTTAGGTTCATCACGAACTGATCATCACAGTCTTAACTGCCGGGCGGGTAGCTCGTCCACTCGATTGACATTCTCAACTACCGAAGTTTCTCGACCGGTATCCTTGACGGCGCAAAAAGGCAAAAAGTATGTTTTGGAAACAAGATGATCATTGTAGCCAACGAACTGCTGCTGCTGTCAAGATGGGGTCGCGTATGTCGCAACTGTCGCACGTCGGTCAAACTGAGTGGTTGACTGTTTCCCCCTTTGAACTCTATTCACAGCAAGCTTATAGTTCTGACAGCTTGCGTTCGCTGTGTAATATATGCCCCTGTCTAAGCAGCGGCACATCCGGAAGAAACGGAACCTTGTTGAATAGCCTAGGGATGCGTCCCCGAAGCGTCGGGCCTCACAAAGACCCTTTGCATTCTAATCCCGGTATTGGAGTGTTCTCTCGATCATGGTCTGTGAGGGAGGGAGTAGCCGCGACAAGGTACGTATGGATACAAGTAGCATTGTAAAATGGTTTGTTTACGGGTCCTGGTACTCTATGTAGTCTCTAGGTGGAGAACCAAGAAACACCCGAGCCATCTGTTTCAAGCATTTCTTTGCTGCGCTTGAGCGCTATTCAAGGGGCATGAAACGCACAGTCCGGTGGACCTGTCATGGGTGGACGCGCCAGTGATTCGACCGCTGTCAGAACCACCCGTCTTTAGTGAGACGGCTGCTGACCGAAGGCCAAGCGCGTGCCTCACGCCAATGGCCCTTGGACTTGGCCAACTGCTCGGGTTCCTTGTCGCGTTCTACTGCATTGAGGATGAGCCTGTACGATAGCTATTTTTGTAGTTTGAATAGGACAAAGCCATGATCTGGGCGGCGTCTCACGACACTTGTTGTCCAAGGTCCTAGTGCCATAAGCTGCATTGCCTAGCTCTAGTAAACTGCACACTCCGAGTCACCCACATTGCGAACGTTGCGAAACAGGCGACACGCGTGGTTCGCAGTCGTTGCCAGCCATAATCAGCCCTACAAGGCCAGCAGAAACATTGTCAACCAACGGTTGCAGATTCGGAACCGCTCGGAGCACAACTGATCGACAACTCGGGGCAGCGTGTGGCGATATTACTTAAATGGGCAATTCAACATAACCATGCGTTTGCGCGAGTCTGGGATATTAAGCTGGGCAGCGGTTTACACTAGAAGAAAAAGGGAGAAGGCAGCGTCAGCGCAAACATCGCACCATCATATTTCAATAACACCAAGAGCTAGCGATGACATTCGAACAGGACGCGTACTGGTCCCAGAAAAACTCGTCTCAGAACAAACTCTTAGTTAACATTTCCCAGACATGGAAGTCTTGCGACAGTGGTGCGAGCGAAATATTCGACCAGTCCGTGTGAGATTGATTGTGCCTCTACAACGGTTGATCGTCGTAAGAGAAGACCGAAATGGAAGCCTTTAGATTAGGAGAACTGCATAACCGCGTGAGCACTGCTGCTTAAGATGATTTGAGCAAGGTCCAACAGGGATGATGCTAAGCAAAGCTAACAAACAGCCTTACGATTTGACCCCTGCCTCGGAGCGTTGACATCAACAACACGTTCGGGATACCTGATCCCGCTTGGCTATCAGAGCACACGTATTTCTGAACATAGTAGGTCCGACTTTTGCTATGCACAGAGGACGTTGTTCTAGGGGGCGTGCCCAATTGCAATCGTAGGAGGAGCGATGGTGAAATCGCGGCTCCTGGTACCTGAAACGACGAGGCTTAAAGGCGCCGAAAATCTCCACGCTAAGGGAATAAACTCTACGCCCAGACACAGTATACATTCCCGGTCCCCCAGGTTTTCGGGCCTTATTTTCTCCAAAGGGGGGTGGAACGGACACAGAAAGATACCATTCGCAAGGCTTGGAACAGCCCTTGGGTCTTGGTCACCGACGAAACGCCATGAGATTAGATGCAAGGAATTCTTTAAATGGAATCGATGTCTACACGGAACATGGCTTCTCACTCACACGCATCTCACTGCGAGTTACACTCTCTTTAAGTAATTAATCACATTCATTTATTTGGCTATCAGCCTGTCCTGTCTTTAAAGATGCGTTTCACCGACGCCGCCACTCTCTTCTCGCTCTCTTCGCTCGCCCAGGCAGCACCGGGTCTCTGGGGCCACCAGCACGCCCACTACTCTTCCAGCAGCTATGGTAGTGGCAACAGCGCGGGATACCAAACCGGTACCTTCTTCACCAACTGGGGCATCTACGCTCGCAACTACAAGGTCACCGACCTCCCCGCCAAGCAACTGACTAAGGTCAACTATGCCTTTGCCAACGTGAACAACGTCACTGGTGAGGTCGTGCTCAGTGACGAGTGGGCGGATATTCAGATCCCCTACCCTGGTGATGTTGCCGGAAACGCCACTCTGCTTGGTAACTTTGGTGCACTGTTCAAGCTCAAGCAGGCAAACCGTCACTTGAGGGTCACTCTCTCCGTCGGTGGTTGGAGCTTCCGAGGCAACTTCAAGCCTGCCTTCTCCACCGAGGCCGGTCGTCAAAAGTTCTGTGACAGCTCGCTTGAGCTCGTCAAGGACCTTGGTCTCGACGGTATCGACATCGACTACGAGTACCCCGAAGACTTGGATGCCAGTGCCAAGTTTGCTGATACCGTCAAGCGCTGCCGCAATGTAAGTTTGATATATACTTTTAATCCATGATGAACAAAAACATTCTGACATTCCATCCCAGGTCTTCGACACCTACTCCGCCGCCCACGCCAACAACTACCGCTTCATCATCAGCATCTCCTCCCCCGCCGGCGCCCAAAACTACGAAATCTTCCCCATCGCAGAAATGGACCCCTACGTCGACAACTGGAACCTCATGGCCTTTGACTACCAAGGCCCCGGCTTCTCTAACTTCACCGGCCACAACAGCAACCTGTGGGCTAGCAAGACCAACCCCCGCTCCACCGACGGCTGGGACGCCAAGAACAAGAAGTTCACCCCGTTCAACACCGACCGCGCCATCCAGTACTACAAGAGCAAGGTCTCGAGCTCCAGCAAGATCCAGCTCGGCATGCCGCTGTACGGCCAGGCTTTCGCAAACGTCATGGACCCCAACCCCTTTGGCGACGGTACCGGCGTCAAGTTCAACGGTAGCATGCCGGGAAGCTGGCAGGCGGGTAACTACGACTACAAGGTTCTTCCCCTCAACAACTCTGGTACCGCATATGCTTCGTACGAGGTCGGTGCGTCATGGACTTACAACCGCAAGACGCGCGATCTTGTCAGCTTCGATACTCCTCAGGTCGCTCAGTGGAAGACGCAGTACATCAAGGCGCAGCAGCTTGGTGGTGCGTGGTGGTGGGAGGCCTCTGGTGACCGTCCCGTTACTGACCCCAAGTCGCTTGTTCGCACTGTTGTCCAGGCGCTGGGTGGTGAGAGCGCGTTCAAGCCTACTGAGAACTTGATTTACTTCCCTCAGAGCAAGTATTCCAATGTGCGCAATGTCAATGCTACTCAGGCTTAAGTGTGTGAGTGTGAGTGAGGGGCTTGGTAGCTAAGTGTGGTGATGCGAAGGGAGTAGAGTCGAGATATACAAATATACCCGATTGA